GAATTTAATTCTATGCAGAACTCTGGTTGCCATGGCAACCAAGAGAAAAAAACCTAAAAAAAATCTTCTTTAAAAAAACGAAAGAGCTAAAGCTTAAATATTTGGCATGAAGCATCATCTATTCAGAGTCTACCAAGGTTGTTCAAATAATAGCCCTGGGGTTAATATTGGCCCCGCCCTGGGGGGAGTCATTGATTTTCCTTATTTGTAAATAGTAAAAACTTAAAAATCTTCTTTTAAAAAATTCAAATAGCTAGAGCTTAGATTTTTGGCATGAAACATCTTTTAGTGGGTGTCTACCAAGTTTGTTCAAATAAAAGCCCTAGGGTCAAAATTTGCCCTGCCCCAGGGGGTCATTGTTTTCCCTATATGATATTGTGTTTATAGTAAAAACTTCAAAAATCTTTTTTTTTTTTAAAAAACCCAAAGAGCTAGAGCTAAGATATTTAGCATGAAACATCTTCTAATGGGTGTCTACAAAGTTTGTACAAATAAAATCCCTTGGGTCAAAATTGGACAGACCCGGGAGGGGGGGGGTCATTTTTTCCCTATATGTGTATATTAAAAACTTAAAAAATCTTCTTTTAAAAACCCAAAGAGCTAGAGCTAAGATATTTATCATGAAACATCTTCTAATGGTTTTTTTCCAAAATTGTTTAAATAAAAGCCCTTGAGTTAAAATTGGCCCTACCCCAGGGGCCTATATGCAGGTGAGCGATTTCAGGGCCATCATGGCCCTCTTGTTATACTTACTTCGAGTATAGTGAATGATAAGTTACTTCTGTTTGTATTTTCTGATCGCAGACCAGGAAAAACAATGCTGACATTCAATCTCAGGAACAGCGCTTTCCAACAATCCTAACAACAAAAAGTAGTTCTCAAAACAGCTTAAAACTATCGATGTAAAAGAAAGAAATATTTTTATTTTGGTACAAGTATCCAGCGAATTATAATGCATTCAAAGTTTAAAAGTAGCTTTGACTTATAGAATTGTCAATAAATGCACAATGGATGATTATTATTTTAATCAATGAAAATTGCTCGGCTATTTCTGTAAAGCTTCGGATTATTGTGATCGGTATTAAACGCCACCTAAATGAACATTTGTTATTTAGACTTTCTGAAAAATAAAGTAAGGATGTTGACTCTAGGACAGGGACGAATTTAGGGCAATCGATAATCGATTTCTACCATAAGTAACGGTCTTATAATTTAATCCACGTAAACAAAGCGCTATTTTTAGCTACATTTCAGCGCGTATTATATAAAAAATCAAAGCACAGAAGGCGCTGAATTTGTTTGGGTTTCGGTGAAGGTTGTGAGATTATTTGTATAGTGCCAGCAATGCTGTTTCCAGTGTTATAACTGTAGTAAATTGGCTATAAGGCTAATTGCAACACTGATATTCAATTCAATGTTTATTTGGCTTAAACAATTTAAAATAAATAAAAAAAAAAAAAACAACATGAGTTGCCTTAACTGGGATTTGAACCCCAGACCTCTCGCTTCCTAAACGAGCGTGTAACCCCTGGACCACGGGGAAGTTATAAGAAAACAGCCTGAAGCAAACCACATTATTCTAAATTAGGGTTTGTAATCCTTATTAATTTCGAGATATTTTGTTCACGGTAAACCTGTTGTTTAACACTGATGTAAATAATCATGGAGCTTAATATAAGCATGTATATCTGTGAAATAAGGTCACCGGAGCTAAAAATAGAAAAACCTTGTTAACACTCAAGCGGTCATATTTTTGCCTCAATCATCATTAAACTTGGTCAGGATGCTTGTCTAGGTGATAGCTCGGATGAGTTCGAACATGGGTCATCTCGGATTAAAAGCTAGGTCACAAGAGCTAAAAATATAAAAACCTTATTAACACTCTAGAGGTCACAATTTTGCCTCAATCATCATCAAACTTTGTCAGGATGTTTGTCTAGGTGATAGCTCGGATGAGTTCGAACATGGGTCATCTCTGGTGAAAAAGTAGGTCACCGGAGCTAAAAATAGAAAAACCTTGTTAACACTAGCGGTCACATTTTTGCCTCAATCATCATCAAACTTGGTCAGGATGCTTGTTAAGGTGATAGCTTGGATGAGTTCGAACATGGGTCATCTCAGATGAAAAACTAGATCACAGGAGCTAAAAATAGAAAAATCTTGTTAACACTTTAGCGGTCACATTTTTGACACAAGTGTCATCAAACTTGATCAGGATGCTTGTCTAGGTACTTGCTCGGATGAGTTCGAACATGGGTCATCTCGGATAAAAAACTAGGTCACAGGAGCTAAAAATAGAAAAACCTTGTTAACACTCTAGTGGTCACAATTTTGTCATCAAACTTGGTCAGGAAACTTGTCTAGGTCATTGCTGGGATTAAATCGAACATGGGTCATCTCGGATGAAAAAGTAGGTCACAGGAGCTAAAAATAGAAAAATCTTGTTAACACTCTAGTGGTCACATTTTTTACTCAATTGTCATCAAACTTGGTCAGGTTGCTTGTCTAGGTAATTGCTCGGATGAGTTCGAACATGTGTCATCTCGGATAAAAAAACTAGGTCACATAAGCTAGAAATAGAAAAAAACCTTGTTAACACTCTAGTTGTCACTTTTTTGACTCAATTATCTTCAATCTTGGTCAGGATGCTTGTCTAGGTAATTGCTCGGATGAGTTCGAACATGGGTCATCTCGGAAGAAAAACTAGGTCACAGGAGCTAAAAATAGAAAAACCTTGTTAACACTCTAGTGGTCACATTTTTGACTCAATTGTCATCAAACTTGGTCAGGTTGCTTGTCTAGGTAATTGCTCGGATGAGTTCGAACATGTGTCATCTCTAGGTCACAGGAGCTAAAAATATCCTTGATATTGGTCTAAAAGTTTGTTTTGATGATTTCTAGGTCAAGTTCGAACATGGGTCATCTCGGATGAAGAATTAGGTCTCACCGCCCAAATATAGAAAAAACTTGTTAACACTCTAGTGGTCACATTTTATACTCAACTATCATCAAACTTGATCAGGATGCTTGTCTAGGTAATTGCTCGGATGATTTCGAACATGGGTAATCTCGGATGAAAAACTAGGTCACCGGAGCTAAAAATAGAAAAACCTTGTTAACACTAGTGGCTACTGTTTTGATTCAAGTATCCTGGAAATTGGTCTGAAAGTTTGTTTTGATGATTTTTAGGTCAAGTTCACATGTATGGGTCACCTTGGGGGGTCAAAAACTAGGTCACACTGCTCAAATATGGATAATCTTTGTTAACACTCTAGTAGTCACATTTTTGACTCACTTGTCATGAAACTTGGTCAGAATGCTTGTCTAGGTAATTGTTCGGATGAATTCGATGGGTCAGGTGAGCGATCTAGGACCATCTTGGCCCTCTTGTTAAATGTATACTATTAATTGTATTTTTTATAACAGTAAACAGTAAATCTATTTCAAAAATAGGGTCAGATTTCTGTAGACTTATTTACATTTTCCCGTATAGGCAATTGCTACTAATTGCACGCATGCAGTGTACTTTAGAAGCCGTAAAGGGAGCGTACATCGCAACTTCAGTCTCTTCTTTCTTACTACTAAGCTCAATAAACAAAATTTGAAAACTCAAATACTTAAAGGATATTTTTTTTGACGCGACGGGACAGTTATTTTTCGAGATCTTATATCATTTGATGTAGGTCTATAACAAATACATGTGGTAAATCGCTCCTTTTTCCAGAAAAAACAAGAAACATGGCAATGCCATGAAACCAGGTTTTCAATTATCACCATTGTAGATATTTTCCAGGGCACTTGAAGACAAAGCTAGTCTGTGAAAGTTTGAACAAAATCCCTTGAGAAATGTAGAAGGAGTTGCGCAACAGAAGAAATTGTTCACTACATACAATTTAAGGAAAAAAACACAAAGGGCCATAATTAGGTAAAAAAATTATCTAATCACAAAACCCAAACAATATGCATCAGGGCACTTGATGACAAAGCTTCTGTGAAAGTTTGAACAAAATCCGTTGAGAAATGTTGGAGGAGTTGTGCACAGAAAAAATTGTTCACTATATATTCTATATAAGGATAAAAAACAAAGAGCCATAATTAGGTCAAATATTATCCAACAATATGCGCAAGGGCATTTGATGACAAAGCTTCTGTGAAAATTTGGTCAAAATCAGTTGAGAAATTTAGGAGGAGTTGCACACAGAAGAAATTGTTCACTATATATTCTATATAAAGAAAAAAACAAAGGGCCATAATTAGGTCAAATATTACCCAATCACAAAACCCCGCACAGAAGATAGTGTTTACGCCCATCCGCCCGCCCGCCGACATACCTCAATCTAATAACCAGTTTTTTCCTTCGGAAAACCTGGTTAAAAAATTGTTTTTCATCGTGCAAAATCACATACAGGGTGAAAAGTGTTTAAAAACGCTTTTGAAATTTTTTTCAATTTCATTTTTAATATGCTTTATTATCTTTTTCATATTTTTCAGCTGTAATTAAGTGTCCAAAGTTATCAATGTAAGATTTTCAAATCTTATGTTTTAGGCTTTTGAACCTCATTGTAGTTACATGTATTGTAATATAATTATAGTGGAGTATTATGATAAATAGCATGTCGACCTCATGTTCATTTAATTCATTGACCAAAGACTCTCACATTGAATTATACACTTTTCCTATACGTTTCCTCGTTAAAGTTTAATATATTAGGGGTAAAAACTTGCACATATAGATCTATATTTCATTATACTGTTGGATGTATTAAGATGATATTATACACTAAATATTTCTTGAACTGGCCATACCGAGTAGTTATTAACCGAGCCAAGCATTTCAATAAAGCTAATCAATTGTATTGAGCAATGTAAAAATGAGTTATCCATTAGTACATATTTCCCATCCCGCTAAAATGATAACTATCAAATAATTCCTCGACAGGCATATGGACTAACTGCTTAAAGTTCATGTGTTTCTATTTTTAGAATATTGGGAAACTAAGTTAACTTGTATACAGAATATATGTCAGTGGGAACTCTGCAATAAACAAGTCGTGTGTATTTACATATCGTTTAAAACATTTCATAACAATGATGATTCCAAACGGGAAGTAAACGCCATTCATATAATGGGAATGAGGAAAAAAAATTAACTGTTGTCTATATTGTTTTGCAGACGAAATATTTTTCAACATCCCGAGATGAAGTTACTTATTTCTTCATGTTTAATGATTTGGAATATTGTTTGTAAGTATATTTTGGTCATTTTCAGAACCGTTTTTATAAAGAATATAATAAAAAAGAATATATTATTATTTATTATTATGTTATTTAAAGAAGCCGCACCCATCATGTGGATGGTGTAACGTCGGTTATTCATGCCATTTTGACCCGGCTAAAGTTGAACCAGTCTGTAGAGCAGATAATGATTATGTTTGTTGCTTCACAGAGGTTAAATTTATTGTGAAGTCTTTTTGAAGAAATTATACTGCTGTTATAAAGACAGAGGATCGCTTTTCAGAGAATATTTGACCGATGGAAAGAGAAAATAATATACGCATATGGCATTTGTTACAATTGGCATTTGCTAATATACCATTATTGCGAGGTTGAGACTGAGGAGGCTCTTAAAAAAGTTTTATTAAAATGATAGAGCTCGGAAGTTAAATTGAACCGAGCACCTCTTTAAAGCTGTGATACCACGTGATGTCTTTATCCATGGACGTTTGATAGAGAAACGTTCTAACACACAGGCTTAAAGGATTTAGGTGTACAACACTAACAAGTAGAGATTTTGATGCTAAAGCATCAAGTCGCCGGATAGAAATTTGATTGTATTATCATAAATAAAAGAAATCAGTTTAATGGTTCGAGTATAAAGAAAAGAGGAACAATAAGTTGAGTAATGTTTATTCATAAACACGTTTTAATGTACTTGCCACAATTATATCTTTCTTGCTATAAACTTTGTAAAAGAGTTTTATACAATAAATTTATCTTATGTTATAATAAAACATCATATTTGAACAAACTTGCTTAGCAATTTTGTCAAGAAACTGTTATCATTATTAAATAAGCAAGTATTGTTTGGCAATATTTACCCGAGACTCAATAATTTTCGGGAGCAGTTTCGTTAGCTTACATAACTTATCATGATTAATGTTAACGATTTTATTGTAAGTATAATTACATGTATAATTATATCAATTAATACTGCTCGATGGCCTAGTGGAAAGTATGACGAAGTTGTAACCTACATGTAGTAGGCGCAAGTTCGAATCTTGGACAAATCCTGTGTGTAGTTTTCATAAATTGATTTTTATTATATCTTTTTAACGTTGATAAATCGTGTGTTTCATTTCTAGCACTCTTTTTATTTCATAATTTTGATAAAAGGTCAAGTTTTGCAAAATACAAAAAGTATTATAAAAGAAAACATAAAAAATCACTTTATCGAACCTACAGTCTTCAATTTGAAACTAACTTAAAATCTAACACCTTGTCATCGAGGCTTGTAAAGCAAGTGATATGATTATAATTCTACTTGTAAATATACCGTTGTACCATACATTTGAACTCCGTATGGTTTACTTCAGAATCCGATAATATTACCGATCCTCGAATATTTGCAAAGTGACTATGAAAATATATATGCTTAATTATTGCATAAAACAATGCAATTCTACTGTAAAAGTGGTGTTTGCATAAAAAAATTATTCTTATGCATTATCGAAAAAATATATTATTTAGCTGAAATTAATATTTCTGTCGTTACATACGATATAGTCAACGTTTAATTGCCTTTCAATGCGATAAACTATCAACACAAAGATAATTTATTAGTTTTCACTGTGTATCCAATACGATCCGGCCCCTACTGTCATACCGAGATTTTTCAAACAAAATTACTTTGATTTACACTTTAACCAGCTGCCAACCATTCAAAAGTTACCTGTATGTCTGTCTTATCAGCCATTTGTTACTATTAATAGATTTTATAACAGTAACATATAACGTGTAGTCACGTGATTCTGGGAGAAGCTGTTTATAATAAATAAGATAAAAAAAATAGAGTAGGTCTCATAACATACAAACAACCAGATAATTTAAAAGTGTCATTTCAAATATCATGCATGATTTATTTATCATAAAATAGCAACGCTTGACACTTTGAAAAAAAGGAAAAACATCCCTAAACTCAATGACTGATCCATAGGGATACGTCATTAATTCATTTTATAAAAATTGTAATGTTGCTTTTTACGATGTCAATATTTGAATATTTCATTTCATTGAGCAACATTATTGTATGTTTGAATTTTTGAGATTACTGAAAACAATTGTAGTCTTTAATTGTTCAGTAATTGTTATGCTTATATTTACAGATTTTAATGCCTTCTCCTACCATAGGTATAATATTAAACTGTTACAAATATAGTCGCCGGTTTCTACCGGCGACTAATTAGAGATAAGATGTACAATTTTCAAAGCAATACAACACTTGCATTCAGATGGTAATTCTACACTGTAGGAATCATCTGAGGTTTCACTAAAAAGGATCCCTCCCAATTGATCCTTTACATACTTTACTCACTAAATACTTTTTTCGCCATGAGTAATGATTGAAACACCACCATTTAAATATATATATATATTTTTTTTATGTGAAGCCTGACCGAGACTAAAACCTGGAACCCTCGGAATACCGTACTGCGGCTCTACTGACTAAGCTATCCGGCCGCCTACAAACTACCTCCCCTCCCCTTATTAGAGAACAGTTCAATACCGTGACATAATCATCTTCGGAATAATTTGGATTCGAACCTAACACAACTTTGGGTCTCCTGAAGAGTTTTTTTAACCTTTTAGACCTAATTTCAGTCATTACACCCGTTATCAGGAGATAATTTGATAATCTGGTACTTGTCATTGTGGGAGGTATGTAGAAATCTGTACGACAAGATTTTCAAAATAGAACATGTCCTATCCCTTACATCTAGACTTAAGGTTTCTGAATTCAAGAAATAGTAGCCTTCACACATGAAGATTTGCCTGTACATCTTAGTTTTAATTGGTGTTGTACTTCAAAATCCTACCGTCTGTTGAGGCCTTAATGCACATTTGCCATGCCAATAATGGTCAAATTCTCATGTGGGTTCAAACCCAATTAGAGACACGCTGATGTTTCTCTAGTCAATAATTTGACCCCTTGGTCGGACCGGCCAAATTTAAACGGCCAACCCTATTAAAGGCTGCCATAATAGGTCCCCCCAAAAAAGCAACATCAAATAAACTTCGAGCATACAAAAATACATTGTGTATCTATAGCACGGATTATTTTTAAGTATATCTTTGTGCAGACTATCTATATTATAAACGGACACAATATTACTGTCTTTTTGGTAATTACAGAATAAAGCCTTGCTACGTTAAGAATACAGATAACATTTTTTTTCATGTGTAAGATGTATGTAAAGAATGTGTGCTCAAATTTTAGCAAAAATCAAACCACTTGACGGTCAATGTCATTTTAAATCATTTTACTCGGTTTTGTCATAAGCGTTGTTTATCCAAATATGGAAGCAATCCTCCAATTATTAATGAAGTTAAGACCAATTTTAGCAAAATTCAATAATTTGACCTATCAGCTAAGTCAATTAGAGGTCTTTGTCATGTTTTGTTTAAACTTCTTAAAAGGGAAATTATGAAAATGCAATCAGTTCAAGGTCATTTATGAGTCAAGGTCAAGTTCAGTCTGGTCTACTTAAATGGTTGTCTTCAATATGAAGGCAGTCAATTTAATTGACCTTCAATGCAAAGGCCATTTATGAGACAAGGTCAAGTTTAGTCTGGTCTACTTAAAGGGTTGTGTTCAATATGAAGACATCCCATTTAATTGACCTTCAACGCAAAGGTCATTTATGAGACAAGGTCAAGTACAGTCTCGTCTACTTAAAGGTCATGTATAAAGGGTCAAATATGAAGATAACACATTAAGAAATTTAACAAGGTAATATCCAAAACATTTTTTGCAGCGATGCCAGACTCAAAATCGAATACTTTTTTTTGTAAAAGACTTGCTAGGAACGAAATACAACAATGATTTTTTGAACGCTTCAAACCCTCATGAAATTTGCAGTAGAATAGATTCTACATGTACACGCGTTTTACTAAAATATTCATTTACAATAAACATTTACTTAATTCATCTCTAAATGAAATAAATGTTATCACATAAAGATAACAGTGACGTCATCGCTGTGCCCAGCGTTTATACGGAAAAAAATCAAAGTGAACGCAAATGTTCCGAGAAAAACTATTCGGAAAATAATTGTCTTTTCCCTCAAACACCGACGATAGAATTACTTCCACTATACAAGATCCATTTCTGATGTGAAAACATTGATTTCTTGTTCGAGAGGGATTAGCCGAAAATGATGACAATGCATTTCTATGCAAACAAATCTGTCCCAGAATATCATATTGTAAATTAATATATTATGACTCATGTTGATTGTTCTACAAGTCATAGATTTGTGTGATGTAATACGTATGGTTTCCATTGGAGCCGAAAGTTTAATTCCTCCAATTTCCTGACAGCAAATTGTTTCATCCTGCCGAGAGAAATGTCACAAACATTCCGAGAAAATTTTAATGCATGCGATTTTTTATTTCTTAAATCGAAAACAGTTGAGAAAGAGAAGCATTAAAAACATACATGCGCTGATCTATTGCATAAAGCGTTTTAAAAAGCGACGTTTTTATTTCCGCTTACAGACTAAGTGCGCTGTACATCAATGTCTTAAATTTCTAGTCCTTTATTATACAAACAAATAAAATACGTATTGAGCATTGTGATATTAGTCTCTGGGGAAAACTCTTTGATATGATGTCATATAGAATATGGAGCCAGTTGTACGGAATACTATGGAGCTTGAATTGACCTCCTAGAAGCCATAAGCGTAATAACTCATGTGTCGGCATGTCGACACATTTTAACGCGACATGACGCCTATCATTGTTTGGTTGGATATTAAAGACGTCTTGACAACGTCTGTTTCAATGCATATCGACATATAATCTTCTCCATTATGGAGTTGATGAAAATGTCAACCTGTTTCATCTCGACAAACCTTGTAATATCTCTGCTTTTGGAAAATATCACAACGTCAAAACATCATGTGTACTGTCGGAAAGACCTTATTAATATTCGGAAACTAAATCCCTCCCACCAAACCAAAATCTAA